CTCTCTCTCTCTCTCTCTCTCTCTCTCTCTCTCTCTCTCTCTCTCTCTCTCTCTCTCTCTCTCTCTCTCTCTCTCTCTCTCTCGTCACCGTGAATGTCATGCTGCCAACACCTCCGTCCGAAGCTAGTCGTCGATTTTCCGGATGTCGCCGCGGAGACCCGGCCGGTCGTGCAACAGAGGATTGGGGTGCACCCTAAAATCCGCGTGGTCGGTCATGCGATTCCCGTACTCGTCGGCGAGGTTGCAGACCAGGAGGTCCACGATGTCCGCAAGGACGTCAACCCCCCCGTCCCAGCGGTTCAAGTTGGGGATGGCTCGGCCGACCTTCGTCACGTAACCGACTGCTTCGCATAGCAGGTCTTCCTCGAATCCCAGACACAGACTGGCGTACAGGACGGTCCCTCATTCTGCGTCCACCTCATACTGCTGCACTTCGCGGCTCGTCGATGGTTTCACGAAGTTGTAAACACGGTCATCGTCCTCTCCGCGACGATGCCTTATCTCATAGCATGTGATGGTACGTCCGAGCACACGACCCCTAAGCGCCACTTGGATGTCCATCGCTGTGCACGTGCGCACCCCCACACAAGTGGGATGGCGAAACTCTCCGCACGTGCGCACCCCATCACAGGCGCGGCGAAGAACCATCGTCCCGCTGCCGATGGCCAGGCAGGTGTTTGGACAGGTGATAGCGCAGTCCGCCACGATTTCGGACTAAAAAACGAGTGTGCAGTTCACCATCCGGACTGTGTACAACTGCGTGCACAGTGCCCACGCGCACCCGACCCGCACAACCAAAGCAATGGAAGGAACCGCCGAATTGCGTAACCCTAAAGCAGCAAAGCAAACTCAATGGACTGTCATTGCACCATAGCCTTCCTCTTCTCCGATGCCAACTCTCTTACCGCCCACCGACACGGCGACACATGACACGCCTTCGATTTATAATCGTCGATGAGGGTAATGCTTGGCGCCACGCAACGGCCTGCCCAACGACGGCCACCACTTGCTCATCATTGTACAGACGTCAGCGACCACTGAAGACAGTCTGCCATGTGGCGTGTCGGATCCTGGTCCCACGGCTTCATCGCTGACTATGTTCATGACAATGACCGCGGCGAAACACAATTGCACTGCTGCGCTGCAACTCCGCACAACCACGACCCATTGGAGGACATCGACACGCACTTCATGCACATGAAGTGGTCGGCGCGTAAACACATGAAGGAAAACAAATTCTACAAAATAACAAAACCAAAAAAAAAGAAGAAAATACAGGAATCCAAAACAGAGATGGTCCAAAAAGACCAGTGCACATTCATCTGTTGCTCTCCCCCCGCACATCAACAGAACATGAAGGGACAGTGCATGCATAATGCATCGGACTACTTGGCAAAGCAGTCACGTCAACCAAGAAATAAAATCAAATCAGAAAAATCGCCAAACCGATAATCCAGTCGGTGGATTGTCGATCCCGCCATCCAAACCACGAAACAGAAGCCTACATAACACGAACATCAACCACCCCTCTGCCTGGTGGTATGTTGGTCGATGTCCGAATCGCGCAGTCAATCCCGCGCCAAAGCCGACGCGATCTTCAATAGTGTGTCGCACAGCATCCGCTGCCTGACCTCCAGAACTATGCACTGCCTCTCCTGCGTCCTCGCCTCCCTATTCATAATGTCGCACTGCCTCTGCAGCACATCGCACTGCCGCTTGCTCGCGCGGTCGACGGACTCCGCGACAACAGTGGAGTGCGTCTTCATGACGTCTGTCATCGCCTCGAAGGCTAGTTGCCCGTCGTTCTTCCGCTTCCCCGACAAGCCATTTGCTGAGGACCTGCTGCCACATCCATCGCCTTCTCGCTCGCCGAAGTGTCACCTTCCCCTCCCCCCACGCCCGCTTGGCTAGGCTCCCCTTGCTGGGATTGTTGTCCCTGTCTGATGCCCGTATCGACGAGATTCGGTGGGTGAACTGCCTGATTGTTCCCCTGCATGATGTGGATGGCGTCGTACAAAGTGCGGTCGAGGTTGAATTTGTATCCTTTCTCCCTTCGTGCTTTCGAGCTCATGAGGAAGTAGGACTGCAGTCCCGACTCCTTCTCCCTGTCCCAAACTTTCAATTACCACTCGAATATGTTCTCCCACCTCTTCATGCATTGCTCCCCGTCCCTTCGAACTCCTTCCTTCTCCATCCTCTTCGCGATGTCCGCCCATTTCTCGTCCTTTGTTTTCATGTGAGCGAAGTTGTGTCCCACATTGGCAAAATAGTCTTCTTGGTCTCTCTTGCAGCGCACTAGGACCAGGGACTCGTTCAGATTCCAGTTCGCTCGCCCACCACTGTCGCCACCATCCCCGTTCGTTCCACCGTCCTTGCCAGTCGCCTTCCCATTTCCCCGCCCTTTCGATGCTTGTTTTTTCTTCCCGCCAGTTGTCGCTTCCTTGACGACGACCTCTTCCTCTTCGTGGTATTCATCATCGTCATCGCCGACGTTTCTGTTGCAGCACCGCCCTGCCGTGCGCCATCGCCGTCGCTGGTCGCCCGCATGTTGTTGAAGCGGCATACAATGCGCTCTACACAATGAGGGGATCCACCACCCGTTGACACATCACGACTCCCTGCCTGCACATAGGGGGCAGTACGACGGGCGATGAACAAGAGTCGGCACAGGTCGGGGTTCGCTCGCCACGGACGTTGGCACCCGGTTCGACCGGAGCTGTGAAATCCCGTTGTCGAAGCCGGCGTCTTGCATCGTCCGAGAGGTGCTCCTGCAAACTTGGCCGTTCTCGTTAATGACGACCGTTCTAGACACATCCATGGTGGTCGATGGAGACAGATGCAAATCAACTGGAAGACTGCGTCCTCCCCGCACGTCGGGCAGCAGTGCGGACATGGGACCGAGCCCCCCTCTCCGTTCGTCCACTCTGGCAGGTGTGTCGTAAGACATTTGAGTCGACCCCCATGCTCGATCCAGGGTAGACGGAGGCGGCGCCCACGTAATATCATCAGGCAACGACTGCTGGTGAGGGGGCAGATGCGAATACAGATTCGGATCAAATCTGTGATGCACGCTCTGCTCCGCCCCGCTCCCGACTGCATAGCCCCCTCTACCGATCCCATAACCCTCTGTCCCCCTTCCGTATCCATCGCCCATGCCTATCTTCACCGAAGCAGCCTGTCGAAGCTTCTTTGAACCCCTCCTCCTTCCAACGCGGTTGAAAGTGCCGACCACTTGCCACACGTGCAGAATGAACACCCGTAGCAACGCCCCAACTAGGAAAATGATGAGAGCCGTCTTCCTCAGCATGTCATCCATGTGCTCATCCCGGTAAGTACAAGGAATGGAGCTGGAAGCTTTCGAACACGACAGAGGGCAGCAATATAGGGGAGCACTGTTGATGACCGACGGGAGAAGGGTTCCACGACCGATGGGCGCCATCGACATCCCAAGCTCAAATTCAAACATTGCAGCCAACGGCTATCTAACTCGCCCGTAGACGTGCCCCTGCAACGGGCGTTTTCGAACGCCAACCGAAACGTCCCCGTGGAGGGACTGCAGGCACACCCGCATTGGAACCGCATGACCGTTGGAGGTTGCCGTGGGCCTGCTGTCCCTTTGTCTACCAGACAATACCGCCGTTGGACCAGGAACGGCATGGTCCAGCACCTGACGGTGCAACGGCCGCCAGGAAATGCGGGTTTTCCGCGGATGTAAGGGTGCCACCCCCTACTTTCAAGTCACCTCCACGGCCGTCCTTACGGTAAGGGCCGTTTTGGCTGGGCGACACTTACTTTTGTAGGGCCCGCCCTTACCGGGCCTTACGGCCGCGAATGTGAAAACAAATTAAACTTATTTTTCTTCGTGATTAGGGAGGGGTGGAACTATGAAAACCTTACATGTAAGGGTTTTCTAGTGGTGTCGAACGAGGCCCTTTAAAGAACTTCCACTGCATCAAGAAAAGAATGATGACGTTGTAATTGAAACTTTTTTTTTCCGTTTGCTCATAACGAAACTGAAAGACGTGCTGGATTGTTTTACTTCTTTTGCATTGCGGCGAGATCCTACATAGTGGTTGACATGAACGACGACAACGCCGACAAGGACAATCAAATCTTATCAATCAGTGAGCGATGAAGCGGACACAATAACCAGTATTAACCACATTAAAAAATGAATATTTGTACAAAGACACACGTAGTAAGCGTCCTCGGAGGCAGCGTGGATACATTTCGAGGTCCACCATCCGCTCGTTACCGTCTGCGTCCTGCTCCAGAAGAACCCTCTCGTCGAAGTCGATCCCCGCCTCAACAAGCAAGTTATGGAGGATGCAGATAACGGTGAAATGTTGTGGCACGTTCTCCATATTCTTCTTGTGGTGGTGAGGGAATAGCCTCCACATTCCCTTCAGCCTCCCGAATTCTCTCTCCATCACTCCCATCATTGGCTTCTGCTTCCCATCGAAGATGGCAACGTCCGATTGCTGCTCCACTCCTCCCTAAGGGACAACTATCCATGTCTTCGGATCATACCCGTTGTCACGTAGAAGGTAGCCCGTAGTGCTCACTCCTCCTGGAAGGACGATCGGCTCGGTGTCGAATAAAGTTCCAGCTTCCGCCCGCTTGAACAATGACGGGTTTCACAACACCCTCGCGTCGTGCACATTGAAAAGATAACCAACGAACTCGTCGAGCACCATCTGCTCCAGATCCGCGACCACTTGTCCGACCACAAAATACTGCTGCTTCCGATTATAGTAGTCCTTCGAGGGTGCGTTCGTGGGCTTGTCCACAAAGACATGGGTGCAATCTATGGCCCCGAAGCAGTTTGGAAAGCCCTTCGCCTCGAACGCACGTGTAACTTGTCGCTGCCTTCATCCGGTAGGCATGGCTATCTTGTCAGGGTACGCTAACAAGATAGCGTTGGTCAAGTCCAGTACAGTGGTGATGCCAGTGGCTCTGCCGATCCCAAATGAGGATGTCCCGCTATCGTAGGTTTCCCCAGAAGCCCATCTGTACATAGCGTACGCTACGACGTGGTCCAGCTGGAGAGGCACATGGCAATGAGTCAGCGGCCGCTGAAGATACAGGCTGCAGGCGGCGACGGTGTCGTAGAAGAGGTCCTTGCTCCTCAGCTTCTCGTGGAAGTACTCCGACGATGCGTTGTCTGATATGCAGAGGTTCCCCCACGTCTGTGTGTCCGAAATTCGATTCAACGGGGGTTTCCAGTTGAAAGGTTCAACGACCATTGAACCCCTGTTGCAACACCGCGCTATACCGCGTTAGAACGCGGTGCAATGGGGCCTGCGAAATTCTTTTTCGCAGGCAAAAAATAATCAAAAAATATATATGTATATATATGGGGGTGTAGATTTTTTTGCGCTGTATATCCTCATATATATATATATATATATATTTTTTTTAGCATTTAAATTATTTTTAAAAAATCAAAAACCTAACCAGACTCAAAACACATCAATTTTTTATTTTTTTTGGGAAAACTAGGGCGCTGTCAGGGTTGGAGATTGAAAATAAGTTTCAACTTCCGTTTTGGAGTCCAGTCCCCTCAAAAGTTTACATTGCAGGCCAAACTCCTCCGTCTCGTGGCACGGCAGAGTTTGTAACTGCAGTCTAGTCATCCACATCGGAGGGCCAGGCCCTTGTCCCCCCAAAAAAAAAGAAACAAGAAGAAAAAAAGGGAAGATCGTGGCGCTGTATCTTTCCATGTTCTAGGGGAAGATTCATTCTCTGTTTCCACTATTGATCTCGAAATGTGCAAAACCAGAGTGAATCTTCTCGTGAACATGGAAAGATACAGCGCCATGATTTTTGTCTTTTGTGCCACGGGGATACAAGGGTTCAACGAGATACACGGCCTGACAACAACGCAGACTCCCTTAGCAGGGGATACTCGTGCTGACAACAACCCAGTTTGGTTTCTTTTTTTTTTTGTCTTTTGTCTGTCCTTAGCAGATTTCCCTACCTTGTGGCGGTGCATCTTCCCATGTTCTAGGGGAAGATCCACTATCGTTTTGCACATTTCGAGAGTACTTGAGCCCCCCTCGCTCCACTACTCTCGGAATGTGCAAAACGAGAGTGAATCTTCCCCTACAACATGGAAAGATGCACCGCCATGATTTTTGTCTTTTGTGCATGTCAAGAATCGTGGAGCAAGGCCCTCTGTTTTGTTTTGTTTTTTAGTTTTCTAAAAAAAAAAAAATCATGGCGTAGAATAGAATGTTCTCTTTTCTTTTCTTCGCTGCACGCACGTCCACCGACGTGTCCGAGGCCCAATGCGCTCTCCCCGTTGAACAATATTCAACGGGGAGGGCCCATTGCACTGGCCAACGGGGATTCAACGGGGCCCCGGGGGCTATTCAACGGGTACAACGGCATTGAAACTTTTCCGTTGCCCATTGAATAGACACACAGCCCCACGTTCCTCCCATCCTCCTTCGTATCCACCAACGCGGACTCTCATGCGGGAGAACACCGGCAATGATGGCGTTCGCCATCAAGAAAGGTGTGTCCCACAGAACACTGGCGGACGCCGGCTCCACCATCGCCTGTTTCATGGCCGCCTCCATCTTGCGCCTACGTATCGAATCACGCCACTGCAACTCAGTCGTGGATTCCATATGCCTGCACACCACCGTCAACGCACTCACCAGCAAACCCTTCTCCCTATCTGACAACTCCCTATGCGTCACCGCCTCGCCACTCCTGTGCATGACTGCGCAAGGGACCTCGCCGCGACGCCGCACGCCAATGCTGCTGCTTTCCCCGTGATGGACAACACTTTGTGGAAGAAACGACATGCACGGCCTACTTGAGCCTCGCTGTGTGCAGGACCCACTCCCTCCATCGGGCGTTACTGCCGGAACATGGGACGCTGATATTCAAATTTTCAAACAATGGCGCGGACCCGCCGGCCCGCGATTATCCCTTGCGCCGCCACAGGCCTGGACATTTTTCTAAACCACGCGCCCATCAGGGATGACCCGCCGAGGACCTCAACCACCAGGCCGCGACTGCCAGCCCCTGCGGCCGGTCTATAGTGCTGGCGTCTCTAGTATTTTCTCAAGAGCACATGGAACGAAGATTGCTGTAAGTATTTTTTAATCATGATTTCAGGATTCGGGCGCACTTGAGAGTCTAGGGTTCTCTAGTGGTGTCGAACGAGGCCCTAACTCATCCAGATTCACGCTCTCAGTCCAATCCTCTTTGCTAATAGGACCTCTCCCCTAGTGATGTGGAGCCAAGGCACTTGGGGCCTGATCCGACACTGCTTATGGTAAGTAAAATCGTAAAAGAAACCAAAAAGAAGGAGGCCCAGATCAGGAAACATCTAAGAATTACAATTTTAGTAGACAGGAAAAGGAGAGGTCCGATCTGGTTCTTAAGAACTTGGGGAGTAGATAACAAACTTACTACCCTAGACGAAAACCAGAAAGTGGTACTAGGTCCTTGGCTCTGTAAAATTACAAAAGTCATATAAAATACGAACTATACTACCACACCAAGTCGCTGCGACAAGATGGCCTTTCCCTGACGCACATCTATACATTTAGATAGATTAGCCTTCCAGTAAGTCACTTAGATGAGAAGTTGTGATAAGTAGATTAAAGCCAATTGGAGCTCTAGCACTGCCAATAGTCGTAACAGGTACATTGGGACGCTGGACCTGCTTTCCAGCAGTTACTACTTTTTCAGAAGTGAAGCCGGGTAAAGCCCCCGGTACTCAGGGCTGGCCGAGCTCGTACGAAGTGATATTTTTCCGCTAAAGAGATCGCTGCTATACGTGCGGCTTCAGGTTCGGGTTCTTTTGTGTCAAGCTCGGGGGGTACAACTTCTTCGCTTTCTTCTTTCTTCTTCAACATCCGTTGTATGCATTGATAGGTGAAACTCTTTTGATTTTTCTGGCAGTGTTGTAGAAACTTATCGTTCGCCACTTCAGATATGGTGAGCAGATGTCCCACTGGGATGGGCACTCGGATATCTAGTTGCTTGAGCGTTTTCAATACATCAATGTCTCCTGTCCGAAACTGCGATCCAGGATTGGACTCGCGATCGACCCACTCGAGATCATCTGGGTCCGATCGGATTGCTCCGATCATGCCTTCAAGATGAAGGTATTCGAGTGGATCGACTATGTCAGCAGCGTCAGAGGAGGAAGTTCCTGATGTTGCTACCTGTGTCGTCGAAGGGGAAGGCTGCTCGGGGTATATGTCACGATTTCTCTTCCTTGATTCGTATCCATCAAAGCAGTCACTCGTCCTTGATTAAGGGCGACTGGGGCCGCAGCAGGGGGAGGCTGATTTCGTTTCGGCAGCGGGCAGTCCCGGGCGAAATGCCCGGGCTGTTTGCAGTTAAAACACTCGATTTTTCCTGCTGGGCTAGCTAGATGGGGAAACTGAGAGGCGAATCCTGGAGCAGGCGGAGCAGGTAAGAGTGAAAACGATGCAGGGGCAGGCCGAGCAGGGGCTGAATTAGGCTTAACGAGTCTGA